CTTATAGCAAGTTGCAATTGATGAATACGAATGGTATAGATCTGTTGTAACCATTGTCGAAGCTTTACGACAGGATAACAATCAAGATGCGTACAAACAGAAAAAAGTATTCTCTTTGTAGGATTTTTTCGAAAAGAAGCACAAAATTCCTTTTATTTCAAGGTACGATCTTTGCTTGAAACATCAATTAAACGATTGGAATCGATTGTACAATTGCATATCAATAAAATCATTTCGATCGCTTATACAGCCTCACTTCTCAAAGCAAAGTAAGACGATTCCATCAACGATCCAGTACTATTTGTTTTCTTTAGACAAGTTGATGTTGAAATGAATGAAATTTTCTCACAAACTACAGTCAACACTGTAGAAAACAAATCGATATTCTATCGTTTGTACGATATCTTGCAACAATATGATATGTCGTTTACAAATCTGCTCAACCTCGATCGATACAATGACGCCTGTGAAATAATTCTGACGAAATCGATACCAATTTGGAAGCGTTTCGCTCGAGACGCGACGGATGAAAACGAACAGAAAAAGTATCTTGGTCGTGCACTCTCTATTCTCGAGCATCTAACGGAGATACTCGCTGAACGATGGCAACTAATCCGACAGATCACATCGCAGAACGATGTAAGAAATCGTACAGAAAAAAAAGTTTTAACGAGATCAGAATTCTACTTGTAGTTAACATCGATACAATTGCCTATACAACGACAATTTGTTCGTGTGCAACTTGAAATAATCACGATATTACTTGATCTATTGAAAATCCATGTAACAGAAATGTTCAAAGATCGTCTACGACGAAAAACAACACATGCAACATATTTAGTAAGAAAAACAAACTGGAAGAAAGGTGCTTGATTTTGATTTCATCTAGGCTGTACAAGATTTTGTCGGCAGAGAAGAAAAAAACAGCGACGATACGGACGATAATAAATGGGACGAGATAACAAAGTATTCTGAGCAGAATATTTTGTTTTCTTTATGAATTATTGCTTGTTTAGAATTCTACCAGAAAAATTAATCACAAGGTTAATGTCCGTCTTGGAAATCATTGGTTCGAATGATAAACTGACCAAAGCAAAGGTGAGTCTGCTGAAAACGAGCGGTTTATTTTGCATATTTTTCTGTGTTTTTCTTTTGCTTAGATTTTGTTCTATCTCGCTCAAATCTATTCAATTCTCGGGCAAAACGTTGGAACGGACTATCCACTAGAATGGAATAGTCGCATAAAAGTTTGTTGATCCTTCAAACAAAATCTTATCCTCTTCTCTCGTTGCTACACAGGACGTTCTCGCCAAATTCCATGAATTGGCATCAACAAAAGGCGGAGCGAAACATGCTGACACACGTACTGGTAATAGTAATAATCAATCAATCAATTCAGTTGAGAATGAATGGATACCAGAAGAATTACTCAACGAATTTACTCGAGATAAGGTCTTCTGAATTCAATCGTGTACTTCAAGTTTTCTCCAATTCAAACCTTTTTATTTTAGATGGATCTGAACCATTCCTTATCGTATCTTGCTCAATCAACGGAAATTGCTTTGCAAGCACTGAACATAGCTCTAGTTATTCAAGACAAAATACTCATCCGTGATATAAGTCTATTGATTTCCGATACCATCGGTCAATTCGATCCAGTGATTAGTATTATTTATTTAACCTTAAGTCAGGTATAAGCTTTGATTTCTGAGAAAAAAAAACTGACTTTTCGTTACTTTGTATGTATTAGAGTGCGAATGCATCGATTTATACAAAGAATGTTTTGAAACGAGCATGCTCAGTGCCTAGTAACTCCGAACTCGCTTCATTATTTACATTGATGAATCGAATAAAACGAGATGAAACAATAACAAATGCGAATAATGGTATCGCCTATCGAGCTGTAATGGAGCGATTGCGAACTTATTGGGTATGATAGAATCCACGAAATTGAACTAATATTTGAGAATGTGTCGATTTAGGCATGGAAATACATGACCATTCGTTCTCAGTATTATGAACTGACAAAAGAAATGCCAACCCTGTTCAACTTTCTTGTGTTGCACTATTCAACAAATGGGTTTGTTTCTGTTTTGCAATCTTCGAATATGTTCATCTTGAAATTTTTTAGAGAAGTAATGTATGTTGCATTGTTCAATAGTAGGACATTGAGTGGGAAAGGAGCAACTACCACTGGAGGCGGAAAGTCGAAAGGTATAGATTGAAACTTGAATAACTGATCAGGTATCGACTGTATAACATTTAGGAGTTACGACTGGGTTTGCTAATCCACAAATCATGAAAATTAATGTGGACAAGAGAAAACTAAATAATCTAATTAATAAATTCGATCGATGGAAAGAAGAATATTCTCAATTGTTACAACAATACGAACTTAAACTACAACGCAGTCGAGATAAGCAGGCTATGCTCAATTCCGAACAAGTTAGTTGATATTATTACGTTTTCTTTTCTTTTCATGAAAACAGTCACATGAACAAATGAAAGAAATTATTCGTCTAATCAATTTCATTTCAGGTGAAAAAAGCTATATTATCCAATAATGAGAATCTCTCATCGAAAACTGATACACAGGTTATTTTGCAATAATATCAATATGTATTCATAGTTCTGGAAATACTCTATCTATTTCCTAATTATTGAATATTTGTTTGTCTGTAATTTTGATTATATTTTTCAATAGCACTTGAAACACTTCTTGAGAATAGCACTTTTCATTTCATACACTAATAGATCTAACTCACGAGAATTCATCTTTTCTTTTAGCCTGAACCTGTTGACATCAGTTTGATCAACGCATTGAAACAACGTTTCACCGATCAGCTTCTTGTTGAATTAAACGAGTATTTTGCTCCAATTAAACCTTTACTTTCGAATTATCTCGAGTAAGACGACATTCTCCGATGAATGACTAAACTTCATGTGAGTCTTAGTGCTGAGAAGCAATACGAACCTCGAACTGCACTTAGTACCGATCATTTATTACTTCTTATCGATCCACGTCTTGCTCATTTACCTTTGGAATCATTGGATATATTCCGACACGTTCAAATCGGAGGTATCTCAAGAGATTTCTCCATTCAATCTGTATACAACCGTTTAAATCCAACTCTTGGTGTTGATGAAACGACCGCACCAGCCGATGGTAAATATTCTGTATCGTCTCGAGACTGTCATTGATACTATGCATTTTTTCTCATTGCAGACGGAAAGAACAAAAAGGCTGCTGGCAAAGAAGTAAATATTTCCAATAACTCGGATAGAACTCGGGTAATTTGAATGTGTTTGCAGGGTGGTGAAGTAACAAGTGAATTACAAGTGATCGATTCATCGAATACTTACTATTTGGTGGAACCGATCTTGTATAAATCATCATCAACAGGTAATTGATTTTCGGGAATGATAGGCGAATAAGACTTTACAAGTATTAGAGACGAAAGTAACAACGCCATTTGATGTTCTTCGACAACGGCTTCCTCAAGTTATATCCAAATGGAAAACAGTGAAACAAGAAGGATCAACAATTAAGTAAGCTTATGTTTTTGGTCAGCTTGAGAGTGCTAATCATTCGAAATTTGGGCGCATTATGAATCTCGTCATACAAATGTAGACTATACTTTCAGATCACAAAAAAGTGTGTCTGTCTTTTCTTCACAGTTATCGTAAGTTTATACTGACATTCAACCCTTCCCCTCATATTACTCGAATACTTCTTTAATTCTTCGACACTTGTCTGTCACGATTTGTTCAACTTAACCGAATTAAATAAATATGCCACTTTTCTCTAGTAATGCCGAACTTGAACGAATTGTCACTGACGCCCAAGGTGTTGTTTACTATGGAGCACATACGCTTAGTGAATTGGTTGAACCTTATAAATGTCCAACACTGTCGAAAAATGGTAGGAGATATGAAGTTCTATGTTACTTAATTTTCGAATGTTTCCAGGCTGTACAATTATATGCTCATTTGATCGAACGTCAACATGTTTTGTTAACAATGCACCTATATCGTAAGGAAACGAAACTGTTCGACAATATAATTCATATTTACATAAAATAAATGTAGATTAACCAATGAGTATGATGCAATTCAACTGGATCGTTCGACTGAAATTGCCCTCTTGTGGAGTTCAGGGGGTACCAAATCAATTGTACTCAATCAATGGAAATCAACTATGATTGAGAATGAAACTGTACTAATCAATACTTTTGTTGGTAATTAATGAGCTTTTATTCTTTTGTGTTCTCGTCATCGTAGAAATTATTTAGATTCTGCCACACTGCATTGTTCATTAAGTCAAGCATTACGTCTACATGTTTATCCATACTTTCGTCCTGTGGAAGCTGACCCAGCAACAGCAGGAGCAGCATCAAAAGATGGGAAAAACAAAGGAAATACTTCAACAAACAAAAAAACGCGTTCACCATCACCTAAAGGCAAGCAGCAATCATCGTCCACTAAAGATAGTAGTGTTAATAAGAAGTCTTCATCGGTACATCCACCTGATACCGCGCCGGAAGTATTATCATCTGCCGAACAAAAAGAAGAGCCTCAACGGCCAACCTTGCAGCTTCAACAACTCAATCCTATCATTTTCGGGTTACCGAATCTTACATTTACACCTTGACATTATCAGATTCCTCAATTTCTTTGATTATCTTTTCTATGAATAAATCTGATATGTGAAGATAGTTCTTATCGTTCAACACATTCCAAGTACGAACAACTTCAACATGTCATCATTGTGCTCGTAGAGCGCGCCTTACTTGCTTCCTCTTTCTTTTCATCCACCCCTACATCCATTTCTTCTATTAGCTTTACCAGAACACAGGTACATTAATCGGCACAGGAGATCTGCAAATAGATTCTTTCATTATCGGATGTGTATTTTTCTTCTGTCTAAACTTCTATTTCTTCAGAAAATTCCAGAAAATGTGTTCCACTTAGTGAATTATAACATTAAAAATATTAGTAGCATGGGATACCGGAAGTAAACATGCAATCTGATGAAAAACAGAACAAAGTTTGACGTGAAAAAGAATGTTCATTCTTTGAGGGTGAGATATGAAACTACTAGATCGGTTTCCTACCTTCTACAAAAGAAAAATAATAGATATAAATACGCCTTCGTCTGTCTTTATACATAGAAACACGTACGAACAATAAGATTTTCTTCATTAATGTAGGTGTAAACGTCCAAGCGAGAAGAGAATAGAAAGTAGTCGTAGATTAAAAACTTTTTTTTGCGTAGGTACTTATGTATTAATGTAGATGAAGTAAAAAACTTGAAATGACATTGAATTAATTCATAGAATAGTGCACAGTGCACCTGTAAGTCAATCTTTTTTTGAAAAGCCGAGAAACTCGTGATTAGTCGACGAAAGACATTATGTCTAACATTGAGAAATGCCTTTTACCTGATGATTTACATTCATTTGAACTCACCATACGTTCAATTGAACGTGACACTCGAGGAAAAAGTTTTACGAAACAAACTCGAACAGTACTCTCACAAATCAAAAATCGATTCGCCTAACAATTATGATTATTATACTTTTTCTTTCAGGAAGACCATACTGCTGCCTTCATTAATTTTCTTTAAAGTTTGTATTCATGCAAAATGAATAGCGGAAATTTGTATATGATTTCATTGACTTGATCTAGATGTCCCTTTTACGCCAACCATTAAATGTAATGTATTTATTTACTCTTCTCTCAGCACTTCTTTACGTACAAATGGTAACAAAAGCTTCAAGTGGTATATACAATATCATGTACTTTTGTTTTATTTTCATTTTTCTTTTCTAAATCTAGATGTAGTCGACGTTGCTGACAACGAACGATTACAGTTTTTGTCTCATAATCACAATGAATACTCAAATGACAACAGTGAAAGTACTGAAGAGAATGATTATGATCGTCGCTCGACGACATTTTTAAGATTTGGACGACAAGTGTCACCATCCGGATCATTTCTTCGTTTCGGGCGACAAATATCACCATCGGGATCCTTTCTTCGCTTTGGTCGTCGTCTGCACAATCAAGGATCGTTTCTTCGTTTTGGTCGCCAATTAGATTTGATTTCTCAAGATGATTTCGATCGTATGGGTCACAAAGGAAGATTCTTACGATTTGGCTAGGAAAGTCGAACATTTTCATAATGCTCTCAGAAAAGCAATACAAGAACGTTTGCCTTATAATCGATTTGCCGTTTGATAACAATAAAAACTGAGTCAGTTTCAAATTCCATTCTTTGCTTTCTCTCTAAACTCAATAAATATGATCCGTCTCATCAATAGAACATCAAGTCTGTCGCGATGCTTTTGAGTAAGGCAGTAATTCACAACACTTCAGATTAGACGAGAGCAACTAATTATAATTGAGATCAAATATCATCTACATTGTACTCAAATTGCCAATTGGATTCATTCTATCGAGATGTTTAATTATTGTGGGGGTTATTTACAGATATAAAATAAGTTCGTTATCGGATCTAACTGACGTCAATACGAGATTAAGAAGTCAAAAAAAAGGAAAATTCCCCACCCTCTAATACCAGAGACAGAGAAGAATCTGAATTTCATTAGATAGTTATCATACTATGCACAGATACATTCATTTCACCAACATCATTATAAATTACTTTTGCCGAGAATATGATCAATAATAGAAAAGAGTCTTAGACATGTTTATTACACTACTACAAAACAATAACATATTCTTCGCTTGATAAGCATCAAGATTTCGCACTTTTTATCGAGTCCGAGCTACTTAATTTCGATGAAAGTAATGTAATAAGTCGTTCTGAATATATCACATCGGGATGATTCGACGGTAAATACGTTTTCTGGATTGCTAACGCTGTATTGAAATACTTTTGTGCATCGGAAATTTGACCAATTCGTTCATGAATAATTCCATAATTAATATAACATGCCGATTCAAGTTCTTTCTTTACTGTAGAAATGTATTCATTTTTCGTTAAGATCTCTATTGCACGAAACCCATGTATAACAGCATCTCCCTGTATAGTAGCAAGCTCGCATTCATTCCTTTGTAGAAAAGTTAATCCCATATTGGAAAAGATGGGTACTAGACATATATGATCGCTGTGTTGACAGTTTGGAATCGATCTTCTTGCCACAGCTAAAGCACATCGATATTGTTCGAGTGATTTGCTAGTTTCAGCAAAGATATCATAAAGTAAAGCCAAATCATAATGTAACACGATTGCTCGTAATTCCATTTGGTTAGCCGTATTGTATAAAGCCTGTCGAAATAGTTTATTGGCTGATTTGAATCGACATATTCGATCTTTAACTGTTTGATCCGAATCAACTAGATGCATGTTTTCGAGTCGATGATGTTTCAGTTTCATATATTGATAGTCGTCTTTCCCGATTAATGTTAAATTCACTAGCCATGACGATTCAAAATCGGCGACTTGCTCCACTTTGCCAATACGATAGAATCCAAACATTGAAATAAGATGTTCGTTTTCGTGAACGAAATCACTATTCGAACCAATATTGGCGTATGGAACAATTGGTGACAACGTTTGATCAATATGAATGTGAAAAAGAATGCGAACTTTATCTGCTTTCAAAGCTTGATGTTTCATAAAGACGATTGCAATCGTTTTATCTGGATTAGCACTCATGAATTGATTGATACACATTAATTGACCGTATGATGCTTGTAGTCGATGCAATTCAGTGACTGCGAGCATTTGAACAAAATACAAATCCAGTGATCCATTCGTTTTCTTTTGCTTTTCGTGCAATTGTGTCAATTCACTGTTCAAATCTTTTAATAAGTGCTGCAATGAACAAAGCACATAGAGATCACGTGTTCGTAATGCTCGATTGATCATTCCTTGGAAAAAGTAACTTTTTGTATACCACCAGATCGGACTGAATTGTGAATAGTTTTTTTCAAAGTCATCAATTAAATGAATTTGACAATCAGACGTGTATTCATTTCGACAATATTTGACCATGTCTTGTTTACCATGGTCCGTTGAACCCATTTCCAATAGTAAAGTGTCTGCTAGAATTGAATAAACTAAATTTAGATCGAGCTGCTTCAGTTCTGCTGAATATGCTTCTGTACTGATGATATCAAAATCAATTCGATCATAGTCAATAATTGCCGGTGATGAAATATACTTTTTCAACGATTTACATATATCTTGAATGTTAGTACGCACATCACGGACTTTTCGGTAGTGTACTGCCCATGCGTCGTGCGTCGGCTTTTCCATACAGAAAATATAAACTGAATGTAGCTGTTCGGCATTATGAATTTTTGGTATAAGTACTTTCCCAAATGTTCCAGAAATGATTAAACATACGTTATTCACATGCATGATGAAATCTTCACAAGCATCTATTTCATTGAAAGTATGGACTAATTGACGCTTTGGATTGACGAAAGATGCAATACTTCTTAGCGTGTTGTTAGCATCTTTGACATAGTTCTGTGTGCCAATGGATGCATCGCACCAAACATAAACAAATGATTTGTCAACAGCTTCGAGCCAACTAGTATCGTCAATATCTGGGTCAATGGAGTTTCGAGGTTTATCTTTAAGTTTACTTAATTCGGACAAAAATTTTTTCATTTGATGCGATTGGTCTTGAACTACTAAGGATGAATCGTGTTGATCGAATGTATGCGAGCAATTGCGAAGGAAGAAGTAGAGGAGCAGAATGGATAAAAATGACGTATGAAAACAACTTTCACTTTTTTCGTTGCAACCAACGAGGTTCTCTCTACTTTATGAGATTACATCTAAGTGTAGAAAAAACGAAAAATATGCATGACACAGCGTTCTTGGCAAAACCGTGTCACATACTTCAGATTTTTCGTAGACGGCAAATAATCACTCAAAACGAAAGCAATTCAATTGACAACGAGAAGAACGAATAATATCGTATGAGTAATCATCGTCAAGAAAAAGAAACAGAACACTCTTCGTTTTCTGTTGATTTTGATAAAGTCATGAGACAGTGATCCTATTACGTATATTGATTTTACAAAATCATGAACGAAAATATGAGTTCCGCGATTGAATGCATACATAATTATCACAATTTATTCAAAAACATCTAGTAAATTTCGATCTTCGATGCAATTGCAACCGGTCAATGTCTATTCAAAATGACCTTGGAATATTTTGTATTCTTCGAACAAGTGAAGACGTTTAAAAATCTAATACATGAACTAATCATTCTCGTATTGAAACGAGAGGCAAAAGAAATATATTTCATCTTGAGAAGATGATTTTATTATGGTTATTATCAACTAACACATGAGTACAAAAGGAAAATACACATCTTTCGTTGAACTGTTGAATAGATATCATGGTTGATACATTTATTTGATTCTATAAAAAGAAAACAACTAGAGAGATTGAACGATGACAGGCATTTTATCTTTATTGTCGTAGTGATTATTATGTCCAGCTAGTAGACCATTGGTTTTGGCACTTTTTGCGATAACTGTTGAGGTTGAAGCTGCCATCTTCATCGATTTTCTTCCGCCAGCCAAGATAATGGCTGATGAGGGTGTTCCAAATAATCTTGAACGTCTTTGTCGATGTTTTGAAAGTGTCAAACAGAATCTTTCCGTTAAAACAATAAAAAATAACGGATTGAGAATACTTTCGAAATGATTAAGTAAAACAACAAGTGAATGTACATAGGAGAGAATTCGTTGTAGAACAGGCCGTCGCACAACATTTTCATCAACAATAAAACGTGTATAAAATTTGAATGCCCAAAATGGTGTATAGCAGATGAGAAATGATAGAACAATACAAAGAACAAGTTTAACACCGCGTGTTCGTTTTCTTGCTACACTCGTACGCGTTAATTTTTCTTTCCGTTTCAACCAATCGCGTAAAAACTTCAATAATTTCAATGAAAATATAACAATTATCGAATATGGGATTATAAATGCGATGACATATAAGATGATTTCATGAACAAGTAATTCTCTTTCAGTTAAATACGATTGACATGAATACATTGGTGTGGAATTTTTCAGACTATTATTACTCGGCGGACTATTGGATTTCGCTAGATACGTATAAAAAATAAATGGATACGGCACTAGTAATCCCAGCGTCCAAATCAATACTAAGGAGCCAAATGTGATTAAAGAGCGAAATTTCGCTGTTAATGTCGAACGAGCATCGATATAACGTTCAAAACTTAAAGCTGCAACAGTATAGACAATAACCTAAAAATAGATAAACATAATTTTTTTTCAGCCTATGTTTTTTTGTGAGATGATTACTGTTAATCACTTAACTATTTTTCAGTCTTTTAGTTTGCTGTGCCCTTTGCACGTCATCACATATTTCCCTTATTAACTACTAATAGCTTTTTCGCAGTCCTCCGCTGAAATATTATGTCCATAATTTAGTTATAATAAAAAGACATTAAATTAATGAATGTGTCAATAGTGTAATCAGTAGCACAAAATCGGCTTTTTCCAGCGATCGGTCGCCAGTTGACAAAAAAAAACGATTCCTTGTACAGATAAAATTATTCATTAAAGTTCATTTTCTGGTGAAAAAAAAACAACAACTAGCTCTTCCAGTTTTTAATGATACACGCAGACATTCTTCAAATCTCTTATCTCGCTTCAACAGTGTACGAAATTGTCTCTAGAGCCATGCACTATGATCTGGATCTCGTTTGCATGATTATTACTCAGTAGTAGATTACAACCTACCAATCGTCAACGATGATTACTATCAGTTTCCATGGACATTCATTGCCTGCTGAGTTTCTCTCGAAATTCCTTCGATCAAAATGAATCTCGATTCAGTTTTCTTTGCAATAAGAAGATTGTTCTAAGAAGAAAAGTATCTTATCTGAATATGAATCCATCTCTTTTCACCTTTTTGAACTACGAGAAAATTTCACGGATTAGTATCAACATACCACAGTACAAAGTACGTCAGCCGTTAAACTAAATTTGCATCCAAATTCACCGAACACCCAACTACGGGTAAACAAATTACTACTAAAGAATATAATACCCACTAGAAACGAAAAATAGATTGGAGGTAGAAGCGTTTACGTCAGTCACATACTTGCATGGATTATATCAGCTATTGCTAAATTAACCACAAGCATTGCAATCGTTGTTTTATCTCGTGTAGATAAAATATATACAATAGCTAGGAGGTTGAGTATAATCGATCCGACAAAGATCAGACCATTGATGGCAACAAATATTGCACGTAGAAAAGTATTTTGCATTGTTAATCCAGTTTCGATGACGACTTATTAAAAAAAGAAGAAGTCAGGAACCAAAGAGTCTTCACAATATATACGAGTCCAATTCGGCCAATTTTACGATTCGTTGAGCTTTACTAAGTTTCCCTTAAGATTATCGCGTTCAGGTGGAACATGCAAAATCTTTCCAATGGCTAATTTACTTGAAAATATAGTAATTAATCAGGAAAGGATATCATTAATTTATAACGGTTCCTAAGAACAATGAAGCAAAACAGGTGAATATCTATACATGAATATATAAATATCAAGGGATGACAGTGCATTCTCAAGAGGTACGAGACAATTATACTATTACACACTAGTTATTTTCGGAGATTTTTCAAGCTCGAAATTAATTTCATTAGACGACATGAAATCAAATCGTTTCCTACCTTGTCAGATGCGTACTAGACAAATCTTATGGATAATTACTCATTATAGAATGCAAGTCACTCAATTAAGCAATGTTTTGTTTTTCATTCGAAGAATATTCCAGAAGAGACATGATCTCTGCGTTATGTTCATTTTGATCGATATCTAATTTCTTGTGTGTTACGAGCCGTTACTCAAGGTGGAACATCTGCTACTATGAGGGACAGAACTCTGATGTCGCAAAGAGTGTTACACGATGTTGGTAGAAAAACTATGTATCATTATAATTAAGACATTTGGTAGTTCATCCTTCTCTTTCTTTCGTTTACTCTAATCAACTATAAGTCAATGCGGAGAAAAAGAAAAGATCATATTCAAAGAAAAAAAAATACTAGTGACAGTAAAGGAGAAAACCATTTATAGTGAGAAGGTATATAATTTCAGAGTAATCATAGTGAAGTATCATTAGGAACGCAGGAAAAAAGAGGCTAGAATATATGAATATATAAACGTAATAATCATGATAAAAGAAGATGAAAAATATGCGGATTAGAAAGTGTTCGGTCACCAACCACCTACTCACCTTATATTCTCGAATCGAGAAAAACTCAGTCAATAAGAAACGGATATTATACTGACGAACAGGCATTTGCCTCAATTCTTTTATTTTTCCTCTCAGGAAGAACTAACTTGCCTATCTTAATCGTTTTCTCTTTTGTCTTAATCACCAACACACAAATACATACTTAAACTGAACGCGAGGTCGTTAATAAAACCTGAGGCTATCAGTCTTGATGCTCTCAACCATTCAGTAGCGAAAGAAGAAAGAAAGGATGAAAGAAAGCGTGAGAAGAAAAGATGCAAAATCCCTTAGGAAAAAAATGCGAACCTAAAAGAGATACAGAGAGTAACCTGGTAAGTAAATGCACTGAGATACATGCTTACTGTCTATATAATCGACATTTATAGACATACACATGTTTCTATTCTTGCTTGTCACTGCTGATTCTTCTATCGTTGACCAGATAACAGCAGATAGACATATGCGTCATGCGTATGCCTATGTCCTTGCATCGACTTCCTCGTTATTCTCGACATACTCGTCTTAAGCATACTCATTCTCATTGAACGACAACTGATGTTATTTTGTAGGAAATGACAGATAATTGATGAGGTTACTCGAATATCCTTGATATCATGTCAATGTTAACTACTTTCTATGCGTTAATGTGTCGTAATTGTCTTCATTTTCAAGCAATCTTCTCGAAGTCTGAACTCAATGGACCAATTAGAACATTCCACATATTAATCAGACATCCTAAACACAGTTCATAAACATCTTTAATGGTCAAATGAGATGAAGTATAGAAGCGAAAATAGAAAACATTTTCCCCTGGTTACTATTTCACTGCCATTGGAAGCAATCAACAACTCTGCTGATGGTAATCATTCTAAAAATTGCAATTTTGATCTGACGAAAACCATCTTACTATAATTGTATCCATAATGAAACTAACAATTAACTGAGAATACTAGGGCAAGAGATGAATTCTATCATTTATATATAGTCACAAACAGATGAAAACAGAAATAAATGTTCCCTTGATAAGTGTGTTTGTCATCTTCTCCTTTTGTCTTGTCTCAATCTACAGGGTTGTGTACAACCTTTTGCTAGAGGACAGTATTATCTTTTCAACTTCAATACTTTACGAACTTTATACCAAATGAAAGCCCGTAAAAAACTGGATTTAGGGCTACTATCATCATTTTGATTGATAAGAGTATCGTCACAAGTTTCAGAGATAGAATTAAATCTATAGAAATACTCAGATCATCAATATTTATGTTTCTGCACAAATTTTTCCCGGGTACTTGAACAGTCAAGGAAAGAAAAACAATAAAGAGTTAATCCCAATACACGTCATACATACTACAGAGCGAAAAAAATACTTTTAGCAGCAGAAGAAGGAGAAAAATAGGCAAGAAGATAGTAAAGAGAGACAACGTGTGCAATATTTCGGTGATTGAGTATTTATACAGTTTTAGTTCCCTCTCTGGAATTCGCGATGATAATTCTGCATTCAATTTTTGACAGACCTTCATTTGGTATAAAATATGTAGGGTATCGAAGTTGAAGAAATAACGCTGCCCCCTAGCAAAAGGTTACACATAACCCTGCAGGTACATAACGTTTTTAATCAACAATTATAGTTTCATACCTTCGAATATTGCTCTCTTTCGTTACTCAATCGTCCTGAAAAACAAATCTTTCTGTCTGAGATGTGATAAAGTATTGCAACGAACATTTACTATAAATAGTCGCTATAAAGAACTGATATAAATCATAGTCTCGCAGTCGGAATTTCATGTACCATTGTCATTGCCGATTGATGTTCATTTAGCTGATGTATGCTGTAAGATTTATCATCCTAATATGATTATGAAGTTCATTGTTCAATTAGTACATCGTCTTCATAACAGAAAATGATATCCTTGAAAAAGTATACCATACAGCATCTGATACAATTTCGGAAAATTGCACTGTAACATACGTACCATGACTCGAAAACAGATATGCCATGTTGAACTCTTTTCTGTAGTCATATAACTATGCTTAATTACACTTCTTACGAGTAATTTAGATCGAAGTACGTCAGTCTTTTGTATTTATTATCCGAAAGGAACTCGCATGGGAAGCTAAATGATCTCGCTTGAAAAAGCACCTGCATAATCATATCTTGACAACTGTGCAAAGATATGAAAATTTATCTTACCTTATTCATCGTATGACATTATCCATTGCGTGCTAATGAAAGATGGCAAGAGACGGGAGAGAAAGAGAAAGGGAAGTACAGGAAAATGAATACACTATGCAATATTCTTGCATTGAATGCTTAAAGAATAGTGGCTAGATTTTGACAATTTTCTTTCTTTTTTTTTCCTTCTTTTCTTTTGTCTGTTTCCCGAGGGTGCGTACTCTATGATTATTGAAATATCTATCAATGTTTGCTTATTGTACTTACTTGCTGTTTGAACGTTTCTTTTGCCAGGCCTCTGGCACTGAACAAAAGCAAAATGAAACAGAGAGAAGGAGACGTGCATTAACAAGCAGACGACGTTCATTTTTATACCTAACAGATTATATGTTTGTGACATCCGATTACATGGAGATTAGATGACGTATGTCTTAAAAATAAAGCACTCTCGAACGGTGTGAAGCGACAAAAATCCAGGACTTCTCATTGACTATACTAAATAAGAAGATTTTGTGATTCTCTTTCTTTTTAAGTCAATAGCAGAAGATAATAAGTTACCCGTTATTATCAAAGGTTTTCGTTCAGAGATATGGAAATGTAATGACAGATTTGATCAAGACCTATGTCCTGGATTTAGTATGAATGTCTTATGTGTTATTTATATAATGATAAATGCAAGGTTATTCCGTCTACTGAGCTTGTTATTTGTCTCCTGTTGTCTGTATCTGTTTGGAATGTTTATAGTAGACTCTTGTCTATTCATGGTCAAACAAATAACTCGGAAAACTATCGAGTTTGTATTAGATATACTTTCAATGAACAAAAATATTATACTTACAAAGCCAATGACGTCAAAATAAATGTCAACAAGTAACCACTCTCACTTGCCACTTGCATGACAATAGACATCTATTCTTTCGTTTGGTAATGAGATGGAGAAGAAGATATGAAAAGCAGGTTTGAAAATCAATTATCTACTACCATTTAGACTAATAACTTCCGGAGAATATCAATATAATTGACAATATTCAAATCTCGCATGATTTGTATCTCTTGTCGAAGAGAGGATACTCGAACATATGTTATCCATCAATCTTATTCGTATTTATCATCTCTAACAGCTATCCACTGGATGAAATATTTCGAAACTAACCTGTCTGTTCGGATGGCACCTCAAAGAGATATAAAGCATAGAATATGTTTGCAGCGGCTTGTTAAAAGAAAGAGGAAAAATCTAGCCGCCAGCTAATTATAATGAAATTCATTCATTTGATATATTTTTTGCTTGATTTCTTGTTAGTTGAAATATATATAGGCCATTGTTTTCCTCTCCAAGTTACTTTAATCAACAACTGACAGGAAGAATACAAAAGATGATCCATTATTTATTTTCACTCGGCTTAATTAAAGAATCTTATACGATCTATTGAATTTATTAATCAAAAATTCCAATTAATTTATTAAATTTTGAATGAATTATGACAATCGATCTATCTCAGTGTAAACAAACAAGTGATCTCGACTTTAATTATCCGTTGTTTTCCTCTTATTTATTATCATCAACTACACGAACTCCATCAAGACAATATAAAACCCGTCATCGAAAACAATTACGATCGAAACGAAAGAAATGCGCTGAGTGTCAATTTCGCTATCGAAATACGATTACTGTTCGTCAAATCTCTTCTCAAGACATGATTGACGTTCAAAGACTCGACAAAACTCGATGTTTAGCTAAACCATCTAATCCTCCGCATAAGAGAAGAAAAGGTATTGGTGAGTACAAGCAATTTTTCAGTAGAGAAGTCATTTGGAAATTCTATTTCTTTGTATGAATTAAATTGAGTTTTGAGATTAATATAATACTTGCACTCCAAGGAATAACAAAGTAGAAAACAATGTTCTACTGAGGAATATCTCGCATATAGATGAAACACATCCACTCGCTAAAGTACAAATGTCATCACGACAGTCAATGAACGGAATTCTTCCAGATGAACTATCGACTATCAAAAATAGTATGAAAACATATATATATTCTAAACATGTAATTTGACTTTTGTATGCCACTAGAAGACAAAATGTCAAACAAGATGAACACAACTAATTTGAAGGTCATTCCTCTATGTGATTTATCGAATGTATCATTAGAGTCAAATAAATTGCATGTTGTCTCCGATGATAATAATCAATCGAAAGAAAATATTGTTCATTCAGCTACGAAACTCGGTATGATTAATGACGAAGAGTCGAATTGTGAATTGATTTTCAATCAGTCAGCGACAATGCATCGCGGCAACTAACACCGACTAATTCTTCGATTGTCCCTCATTTTTCCTCGACGATTGCTCCTCGTATACCACTTCAAACTTCATTATCATCTATTATCGTGCAAGAAGTACTTGCTAAAGAATCAAACACCCCACTACAATTGCGATCATTACATGACAATATTCACGAACTAGTCGAGCAGCTCAAAGCCTGTGTAGCTACTTTAAATCTTCTCATTGAAAGTGAAGAAAAACGTAAAAAAACAATTCGAAGAAGAAATAGAGCAAAGAAAAGACGACTAAATTCACCCGCTAATCTACGACGTCAGGCAAAACCTCTTGCAAACATCGAGCCATGTACGTCTCATGATTATTGAAATAATTTCTGTTTTAAAATGCTATGTGATACATTAGACGATGAAAATCTTTGCATACCGTCAGTGTATCATAACCAACATGAAGAACTACAACGATGTTTACTGATTTACAATTGTAGTGAAGTAGATAGACATCGATATGGACATGTACATACATTGAATAACGTCGAATAACTCTTTATTTGATTCATTGATACAACAATATTTGTTAAACTATGTTTGACAATCTTTGAAAATAAAAAACAACAACTGACAATCACATTGAAAATAGTTCAAACGATTGATTTGTCTGATACATTAACTAAGAAAACGACTAATAATAACGGATAGAGAACGTGATTAGAGATAAATGAAAATCTTATCCACGATGAAATTGCTGTTGAGCATGGTGAAGAACATAACGGCATTGATTTATCGCATTCGTCCACGAGGATGTGGTTATTTCCAAATCGGTTAATAATTGTTTCAGACGGCGAAACTCGCTACTGTTCTTTGTTAGCTGAGGTATCTGAAAGAAAGTAATTAGTATGATTATCGAAGAGAAAATAACGAGAAGTACATACACGAATAGGCATCTTTCGTGTATCTGTTAACAAATCTTTCAGTTTAGGTGTCATCGACGACCATTGATCTAGTATATCTAAATATGATCTCGCTTTCTTTTTAATGATAGTTAATACAGTGATTATTTACCAGCGAGACACGGTTTTGTTGTTGCCTTCTTTTTGATGTCTTCGTGTTTTTTGATCTTGCTTGTGGATGATGGTACCCAAACCGGTATTCGCGATACTGGACATTTGATTGGCATCAGTGGCGGTCGATTTTCTTTATTTTCATCGACATGATCCGTCGGTGGCGTAGTAATTAGACGTTCAATCCGAATCAGTTCTTGATAGACAGGTTCTTCCTTCTCTTTTACAAGTACAGATGAATCACCTAAGCGACTACTAACGTCATTGATATATTTTAAATCTTGTAAAGATGGATGCCGGCTAACAACGACATGCATCGATTCAGATAACAATCGATTTGCTAAGAAGAAAGATTCATTTACGGAAAGAATCACACGAATGGTTTTACATACGATTTGTAAATATTAAAAGATCACTAAGTTCTGTCTCATCTAAATTCGATTCAATCAGAACAGATGATGTTTTGTTCGAACAACGACTGATTGGAATGTATTCATCATCGTCATCTGGTACAATCATTGTTGGTGAATCAAAATATCGTTGTTGCTGTTCATTAACAATAATTGTGCTGGTTGGCTGTTTGATCTTATACTTTGTAAAAGTAGAAAAACGATTCTCGTCTAATGGTGATGATAATTGACTAGTATTTTCCATAATCGAATGCATTTGATCTTCTAGGTCAGTATTAATATAAGATGAACAGTACTTATTCGATAAGACCGTATATGTTTTATTCATTACACGCTGCTTATTCGATAGATGCATACTGGTCTTCAAAAGACAGACGAAATGACAACTAATATACATCCATACTTATAGCACATGTGATAACATAGCACTAATGAGGAAAAAAGTTCATTGAATAGAACAACTGCATGTCAGTATCAGTCTAGAATAGACGAATTTCTGCTTTGATCATGTCTACAGCTGAATTTTCATATATATAATAATTAGACGATAATTTCTGTTCTGATAATGCCATCTATCGGTTATTTTCTTTCTGATTTGTCAGTTGTTTGAATTGGTAAGATCGAATAGAGTACTATTACTTACATATAGACCACATTTTATTACGATGTATATAGGAAAAAGATAGAAATGTATCGAATAAAACATGTTTTACGTTTGCCGGTTCGATTTCATTCGAACTCACCACCGAAATTCAATCCCTGGCAAGATTATCGTGCATATCTAGATCAAGTAAAAACATATATCAATCGGTTGAATCCATATGTTGAACTTGATCTTCGTTCAGCTGTACTTGACTGGGATTACATATTAAATGATGAAAATTCTCAAGCTATCGTAGAGAATATCAAACGAAGAAAAGAAACTGAATATGTTGACATTGGACAAATTGTATGTGAACATTTCCTTGATGTTCTTTAGTCTGGCTCAATAGTGATTTTCTAGCATGCTCTACATCGTGACGTTCAAACTCTTTTTCATCGAATTGAAGACAAGAAATTGGATCCAATTCAAGGCGAAGTAAAGCATTGATGACAACGAGATTTTCATAATCTGCATTCTAATTTAGGATCAGATCAAAGTGAAAATTCAGGATTTATACAATCGTGCTTTGAGATTACCAAACAGCACACATCCTGATGTGGTGAGTGATTCTTATGTGAGATTTGCCTTATTCTATGTTTTCATGTAGTCATCCAATATTCAAGATCAAGCACGTATGATTCGCGAGGTTGGAAAGAAGCCAGGTAACGAAAACCACTCAGACATGAAGAAAATACGCGGCTAATTTTAGATACGACGGATCCTTGGCCCGCAGTCGATCAAATCGGTCAAGAGTTGAATATGATTCAGTTAGAGTGAGTTTAGGAATTATTGCGATCGTATGGACTATGTTGTTCTCTTCGTATGCGTAGAAATATGGGCCATGTGTCATTTCGAGGTGCGTATGCACTGTTTGGTGATTTTGCGCGTTTAGAACGTGCTTTAATGTATTATGCGTTTGAAAAACTCACACAAAATGTCAGTCATATATATTCAAAAAGTCATGTATCTTTATATATTTGCAATTTCTAATAGGGTTTTAAACTAGTTTCGGTTCCTGACATTATTCATCGAGGCATTATTGTAAGAAACTTTCTTTGAATCGAAACTCCAAAGGATTGTGTTGACTTCTTAGGAATCATGTGGTTTTCCTACACGAGGTAAACGATCTCAAGTTTATCAATTAGATTACGGTGAAGAATTTGGTCGATATTGCCTTGCTGGTACATCTGAAATGCCTCTTGCTGGTCTTCTCAAACATAACACATTTCGTAAAGATGAGTTACCTCTTAAGTAAGTACAAACATCTCACCAAAATGTTTCCTTTTCTCATGATGACTATTTCTCTGATAGACTAGCAGCATGCAGTCGTTGTTATCGAGCTGAATTACCTGGTGGAAAGACAGAAGGTAATCTGTATCGTGTACATGAATTTAACAAAGTAGAAATGTTTGCTGTGACAACGGATGATGAGAAAGCTTCGCAAGAAATGCATAAAGAAATTGTGCAACTAGAAGCAACTATGTTCGAAGAACTTGGATTGCATTTCAGGTTTGATGGTGTTTGTACAATTGAAGTTCTTTTCGAACATATATTCTTAGGATACTTGATATGCCACCGGAAGAACTTGGACTTTCTGCTTACAGAAAATATGATATCGAAGCTTGGATGCCGGCGAAGAAGTTTTACGGTGAAGTATGTTTATATAAATTATCTCATTCGATTTCAACAGACGAATTTGATTTGTTTGAAGATAAGCAGTGCATCCAATTGTACTGATTTTCAATCGCGTCGGCTACATATCAAATACATCGATGATAATGGCGAAGAAAAATTCGCCCATACAGTATGTCTGAACATCGATCTTGAGATATTGACAACACATTGTTTTCCGTTTTAGTTGAATGGAACAGCTATGGCCATACCGCGCATGCTGACAGCAATCATTGAATCAAACTGGAAATCAGTAAGAGATTGTCGTCATAGCTCTATAAAGTTTTATTTCACCGATGTTTTTTTAGGACAAAGAACGTGTAGAAATACCTGTTCCACTACGTCCCTTCATGGGTCACAGAGAGTTCATCTCCAAAACGTCTTCAACACCAAGAACCCAATGGATAAAATTTCTTAGTTGATATAGTACTCATCTCTCTTCTACATGTACAAATCTTTTCATTATTATGAAAAAAAAAACACGCAGATAATGACACAAAAGCAAAAATAACAACGTTCATTAGCATCATCTCTATTTTTCATGTACATATGTAATATGTATCAATGATGACGACTTACATAACCCTACTAAAACTATTTGATGACAATATCCGTATGTAACACGATGTGATAACCTACAAATCGTTGTGATTTTGCAATCGTGTAGACAATAATTAGAAATCGTTTCACGATGATCAGTGACATTGTTTTGATTGCGATGGTTGAGCAGAGAAAATTGAATTATTCTGGTAGTTTATTTTCTGTGCATTTAAAGATGAATAAAGTATTTAAAAAAAAACGAAAAAGAAAACAACACAATGATCATATTTCCATCAATTTGTTCTCGTACACACGATGAGTATATAGATCAAGATCTTCTTCCAATTCGCGAGAGACGAAAGAAAAACAGGATTTTATAGTAAAAATTTCGAGAAACACCGGTGTCAAAAAATAAAAACCATTTCGTGACATTATCTTAGAAGAAATAGAAAACATAGAAGAGAAACTGATATCGATATTTTCGTTGCCGACGAACTCAATGCAAGACTAAGCATATTTGGTGGCGAAACGGATGTTTCAACGATATTTCGTGTTCCGTAAGACTTATCTATTGACAAAACCAAACAAAGACATGATTTTCTTTTCACATAACAATGACTTACCTGTATCTCGATAAGGTCCTTCTGTAATCCATTTGATTGAATATGGATCACTGTGACGTTGAGCTTTGATCGCATGGAGAAAAGGACGTTGCTCATGTTTATGTACAGCCGATGAAGATGAATCGTGTCGATGATGAGAATAATGAGGAAACGATAGAGGTTTATATTCTGGATTAGAAAGAAATGATGATGATGATGATGTACTCGTCGACATTGATACACGATCTAAATAGATCATTAAGAAAAACATGTTTCGAATTCGACTTTGTCTATAACAATAACAAAGTTATGGTCAAGCATTCGATGAAGTATATCGGACAGGAATGATTGATAGACAATGATAGTAATTTATCTCGACAACAAGATTATTTGTTACTTAGTCGTTATCGTAGACATGAAGAGAAATACTAATAGTATATCTTACATTGATGACGAAGTCATGCATAGCATATCGATGACGTAAAAAACAACGCACTCTAGAAAGTGATAGAAAAGAAGCCGATAGCTCGTTCGTCTAGTTCTAATCACTATTATTCTCAACATTCCAATCATTCATATGACTTGAACAAAAATACAAAAGGCGTGGTAAATACAC